GAACACATCATGGCGCGGCCGTCGGTGATGTTGCGGTCGAACAGAGCCGTCGGGTAGGCGATCTTCATCTCTTCATTCTCTGGGTCGATGTAATACACAAGCGCGTCAACAGTCTTTGTGAAGTCGTCGGTGGTGCACACGTTCACGTTCGTGCCTGTGGAAGACTCCGCCGCGAAGTGCGCCGCGGTGGCCAGGTAGTCGTAGCCAGCCTTGGGCTTCATGATGTAGGCCACCAGCACGTGCTGGCCGTTCTTGATCAGGTCCTCCTCCGTCAACGAGAGGTCCGCGTAGCGGCTCGACTGGTCCAGGGCCCGGCGGGTCACAGAGCTCGCTGTGCGAGCCTTGCTGGCGCCAACGAACGCCGCGGCCAACTCCTTCTTCTGCCAATTGAAGCTGGCTGCCTGGACGGAGGACTCGCCCGTGTAGCCGAGCTTCTCCTTCCAGCCCGGGTAGATCTGGTCCGCATCCTTCTGGAACGTCAAGAACGCGCCCTTGAGCTCCTCGTGCGTCTTCGCGTACTCGACGACGCCGTCCGTCAGGCTCACGTCGCCGTAAAGTGCCTGCCTTCTCACAACTTTCCACGATTCCTCGCCCTGGGCCACAGATCCGCAAGGTGGTGGCCCGTCCCTTGTGCCCGATCGTGCCACCGCCGCCGTCAGGATAACGTTCGATTGGCCCTCAAGTTCTCGAAGACCGGCAGGCGAAGCCGCAGGCGTTCATGCCACCGAGATGATGGGGTGGTGCTGCTTCATGCCTCCCACTAACTGGCGGTAGTACGGGCCGTCGGCGACGTCGTCCTGCAGCATGAAGCCGATGTTCTTGTCCGAAGCATCGCCCTCCATCTTGCCAAAGCTCATCGTGCCCGTGTGGATACCGCTGGCACCGATGACGCGCGACAGCTTGGTGTGCACGAAGGCGGTGTACCCACGCTGCGTCTGAGGGCTGGTCACTGCGCCGTGGCCGGCGCGGTGGTAGTGCAGAAACTGCTTCGGGAAGTTGCGGCGCGCAACTGTCACCGCAGTGCCGCCAGCCACGTATCCGTCGACCAAGAAGGCGCAATTCTCCGCTCGGCCTATCTGGTTCAAAATGTACTTGGCACTGCGATCATCTCGTTTCGGGTCATCGCAGTAATGTTTTTGCGGAGAACAAACTTTACCCTGGCCCCGTTTCGCCTCCGCTGCCTGCGCGCATTGGCCTTCACGACTTCGGGGATGCATTCGTTCATCTGGCAGAAAGTCTGGTTGCCCTGCGGCTCATCGTTCTTGATGAAGTCGCCGCCCTGCCAGAAGCCATAGCACGCCTGGCCGAAGGGCTTCGGCTGCAGACCGAGCTTCGGCTTAATAATGGTGCCGACAACCAGACCACCACCGACCGTGCCGCGGCCCAGGATGCGCCACATGTCGATCACGCAGCACGACGGCCCGTCGAAAAGGCGAAGGTACTGCGGCGGGAAATAAATATCATAAATCTTGCCGTAGTCGACGTCACCCATGCCCTGGTTGTTCCCGATGCTCAAAGTCAGCACGGAACACATCATGGCGCGGCCGTCGGTGATGTTGCGGTCGAACAAAGCCGTCGGGTAGGCGATCTTCATCTCCTCGTTCTCAGGATCGATGTAGTACACGAGCGCGTCCACAGTCTTTGTGAAGTCGTCGGTGGTGCACACGTTCACGTTCGTGCCGGTAGAGGACTCCGCCGCGAAGTGCGCCGCGGTGGCCAGGTAGTCGTAGCCCGCCTTGGGCTTCATGATGTAGGCCACCAGCACATGCTGGCCGTTCTTGATCAGGTCCTCCTCCGTCAACGAGAGGTCCGCGTAGCGGCTCGACTGGTCCAGGGCCTGGCGGGTCACAGAGCTCGCTTTGCGAGCCTTGCTGGCGCCAACGAACGCCGCGGCCAACTCCTTCTTCTGCCAATTGAAGCTGGCTGCCTGGACGGAGGACTCGCCCGTGTAGCCGAGCTTCTCCTTCCAGCCCGGGTAGATCTGGTCCGCATCCTTCTGGAACGTCAAGAACGCGCCCTTGAGCTCCTCGTGCGTCTTCGCATACTCGACGACACCGTCCGACAGGCTCACGTCGCCGTAAGTGCCTGCCTTCCACAACTTCCACGATTCCTCGCCCTGGGCGCACGAGATCGCGCCCTGCTTCGGCCCGTCCTTGTGCCCGAAGGCCCCACCGCCGGCCGTCAGGATAACGTTCGAGTGGCCCAAGTTCTCGAAGAACGCAGGCAGCCGCAAGGCGTTCATGCCACCCGAGATGATCGGGGTGGTCTGCTTCATGCCCTCCCACTCCTGCCGGTAGTAGGGGCCGTCGGCGACGTCGTCTTGCAGCATGAATCCGATGTTCTTGTCCGAAGCGTCGCCCTCCATCTTACCAAAGCTCATCGTGCCCGTGTGGATGCCACTGGCACCAATGACGCGCGACAACTTGGTGTGCACGAAGGCGGTGTACCCGCGCTGCGTCTGCGGGCTGGTCACTGCGCCGTGGCCGGCGCGGTGGTAGTGCAAGAATTGCTTCGGGAAGTTGCGGCGCGCAACGGTCACCGCAGTGCCGCCAGCCACGTAGCCGTCGACCAAGAAGGCGCAATTCTCCGCCATCGGGCCCATCTGGTTCAAAATGTACTTGGCACGTGCGATCATCTCGTTCGGGTCATCCGCCGTAATGTTGGCGGAGAACAACTTGCCCTGGCCCGTTTCCTCCTGGGCCGCGCGCATGGCCTTCACGACTTCGGGGATGCATTCGTTCATCTGGCAGAAAGTCTGGTTGCCCTGCGGCTCATCGTTCTTGATGAAGTCGCCGCCCTGCCAGAAGCCATAGCACGCCTGGCCGAAGGGCTTCGGCTGCAGACCGAGCTTCGGCTTAATAATGGTGCCGACAACCAGACCACCACCGACCGTGCCGCGGCCCAGGATGCGCCACATGTCGATCACGCAGCACGACGGCCCGTCGAAAAGGCGAAGGTACTGCGGCGGGAAATAAATATCATAAATCTTGCCGTAGTCGACGTCACCCATGCCCTGGTTGTTCCCGATGCTCAAAGTCAGCACGGAACACATCATGGCGCGGCCGTCGGTGATGTTGCGGTCGAACAAAGCCGTCGGGTAGGCGATCTTCATCTCCTCGTTCTCAGGATCGATGTAGTACACGAGCGCGTCCACAGTCTTTGTGAAGTCGTCGGTGGTGCACACGTTCACGTTCGTGCCGGTAGAGGACTCCGCCGCGAAGTGCGCCGCGGTGGCCAGGTAGTCGTAGCCCGCCTTGGGCTTCATGATGTAGGCCACCAGCACGTGCTGGCCGTTCTTGATCAGGTCCTCCTCCGTCAACGAGAGGTCCGCGTAGCGGCTCGACTGGTCCAAGGCCCGGCGGGCCACGCTGGCGCGCGATTGGACCGGAACAACGCACGAGGCCTGGCCGGCCGCTAGCTTGCTGGCGCGACCGCGGCGCTTGGACCCGACCGCCGCGGCGAGGGCGGCAGCGGCCGCCGGCGCTGCCAGGGCCGCGGCTTTCCCCGTGGGGCTGGGCTGTTGGGCGTGCGCGGCGCCGCGGAGGGCGGGGGCCGCCTGCGCAGGGGAAGCCTGTAGCGTCTCCTCGACGGCGGCGAGGGGCGCAACCTGCGAGGACACGAAGGACTGGCCCTGCTTCAAACAAACGACGGCCGCCAGGCCAGCGGCAGCCCCGAGCGAGGCGCGTTGGGCCATGGCGCGGGTAGGGTCGAGCCGAACTCGCACGGTCGGCCAGCGGTTTGTGCTAAAATTGTTTCAGCCAAAACGGCTTGAGCCAAAATGGATACGGAAGGGGAAGTCCTGGAGTTTGTCCCAACCATCCTGTGGTGTTGGGTCCCCGTTTTGAAGAGACAACGCCCCGCGATCCCGCTCCTCCCCCCACTCTCCCTCCTCACATCGTCGTCATCGTCATCATCACCATCATCATCATCATCATCATCATCATCATCATCATCATCATCATCATCATCGTCCTCCTCCTTCTCAGCATAATCATCATCATCATCATCACCACCATCATCATCATCATCATCATCATCATCATCATCATCATCATCGTCATCATCAGCATCATCATCATCATCAGCAGCATCAGCATCAGCATCCTCATCCTCATCCTCATCCTCATCCTCATCCTCATCACCATCATCATCATCATCATCATCATCATCATCATCATCATCATCGTCATCATCATCATCATCATCATCATCATCATCAGCATCCTCATCATCACCATCTCGGCACACTCCTCACACGTTTCGTGGCCTCCTCCTCCTCATCATCATCATCCTCCGCTCCTGTTGCTTATGAAGAACGCCTTGCTGTCGCACCCCGAGGCCGGTCGACAGGGCGGGCCGGGCGTTTCGCCTGAGCCTTCCTCACCATCCATGATCCTGAAGCTTGAAATCTGCAAAAGCTTCACGGATAGAGGGTGGCTCGCTTTCAACACGTGGCTCTCGCATTAGCGCCGCGTGCACTCGTCTTAAGGATTCGCAACAAGAGTTTCAAGGATTCTCATGGCTGGTGTCCCAAAAACGGTGTTATGGTACGATGTCGGAATGTCAAGGCGCAACAGTTACGCTGATTCGCTGCGTTGGAGTCCCAGGAACGGCGCTCTGACACGATTCACGATCGCCAAAACGCAGCAGTAACGGTGATTCGCGGCGTTGAAGTCCCAGGGATGGTGTTCTGGCACAGTTCCCGATTTCAAACGGTTGTATTCCAACGGGGCTTTTCGCCTAGTGCAACTGAATCAGTGTAAGAGCCGATGTGCCCGAATGCACAATTATGCGACCGAGCGGAAACCATCATGTGACCGAATGGAAAAGATGATGCGCCCAAATGGAGAAGGACAAACCGCATGGGGCACCCTCCATGCCGCGACCGACTCGGGCACGCCAAGACGACCGCATTCACTCGGGTATCGATTCGGGCACCAATCGGGGGCGTCCCCGTGCACTTTTGGCCCATCTGTCCGGGCGCCATCCGGACGCGGCCGTGCGAAACGCGGGCTGGCGGCGGGCGCGTCGGGGAGTCGGTCGCGCGAATGCCCTTTCGGGCGCGCCGAAGCGGCGGCGGCGGCGGCGGTAGTGGCGCGGATCGGGGCAGCAGTGAAGGCGGCGCTGGGAGGCCGCGCCAGGCACGTTGACGCGCCGGGCACGCCAGGTGCCAAGCGTGCCGCTTGTGCGCCAGATACACCCACTGCGCGAAGCACGCCATGTGCTGCTCCAGCCGCACCAGGGGCGCCAATTGTGCCAAGCTCGCCACTGGCCCCAGGAATGGCAGGCGTGCCATGCGCGCCAGGTGCGCAGGTGCGCAGGGCGCGGGAAGGTCCAACCAGGCGCGCAGCACACGCGCAGCAGATAACTGGCCAAATCATGACCAACACACTCCCGCGGCCCCGAAAGCCTCCATGAACCCATCCGTCAAGACCTAGCCATGCCATCGCACGTCAGTGCATCAACGCTTCATTTCGAGCGCCAGAAGCGATCAGCAACAAGCTATCGTTGGGAACGACGGCCAGCGGGACACTGCTGCCCGACACCACGCACAGCGCACGGGCTGATCCAGACCGCACGCACGCCGCACCATGCGAAACTATCCCCTGAAGATCGCTAGATCCACTGCGCGAGCAGCGCCAGACTTCGAAATCAAAGCGCGTTCGGGCACGCCCTGTTCGGAACTTGGGCCCGCGCGCCCAAGACTTTCGGGACTCTTGGAGGCCTAGGTCCACTTTGGGGCCCTTTGGGGGGCCTCTCAGGGGCTCTTAGGGACCTCTTTGGAGCCCTCTCGGATCCTTTGGGGCCTTCTTGAAGACCTCCTGAGCTATCATGAAGACCTATATATATAGATATACATGTGCAAATACATATATACATCTATATAGAATACAAGTATTTGAATACGCGCGCGTCGCGGGCTGGCTTAATTCAAAGAACTATTGCAACGCCACCACCGGTTGTGGTAAGGCAGCCACAACCCTTACCGGTACTGCCACGACCACGGACACGACCGCTTCCATCTCAACTATCGGCATCCACTCCTTATCCTCCTGCTCCTCCTCCTCCTCCTACCCCTCTTTCTCCTCCTCCTCCTCCTCCTCCTCCTCCTCCTTCTCTTTCTCCTCCCTCCTCCGCTTCTTCTTGCGCTTCGCTCGCGCATGTTTGGGACGGAAGGGGAAGGGTCCACACCCCAGGGGGCACCCCAGGACCAACGCGTCACTCCGAGTCGTTCTGCCGACGGACCCGGCGGCATAGCATTGGGGAGCCTCTGAAGCGGACCCACGCGAGATAACTCATAAGATCTCTTGGGAGGGCACTGGGTGGCATCTTGCAGGTCTGTTGTGACGGTTCTGGGGATCCCGACGGACTCCCAGTTTTACTTTAGGCCTCTGGGAGGCTCTTGGGGTCCAAAAATGGGGGGCAGGACTCGAGATGTCGGTGTTGGGGTTGCTTTTTGCCTCCTCGTGGTGCCTTCTTGACTGCCTCGAGATCCCTCTTTGAAACCCTCTTGGGCCAGTCTTGGTTTCTTGGGGGTCCGCTGGGAGCTCTCTGGGACAGTCTTGTAGCAAGATTGGGGCCCTCGCGACCCGTCGTGTCAAGTCAGGGGCTCGAGACACAGTCCTGGAACGCTCCGGGCCCATGTCCAAGGCCTCTGGGATCGTCTGGATGGGGTCCTGGAGTTTGTTGTTTGTTCTGGCAAGCGCCCGCCCCATCAGAGGTCTGATTGCACTCGGCGCATCAAATACGAAGCTGGGAAGTCGGCAAAATGTTCGTGTGAAAGCTTAACTGAGAGTGAGAACGGACGCGACTACTGTGCACGTTGCACACAGATCGCTGACATGCTTACAACGCTGGCCTACGAGACACGGCTTGAGTGCTAGCCAGCCGCTTGCCCAGAGCAAGCTGGCCGATTCGAAAACGGTATGCCAAAATAGAGCGCTCAAAATACGCTCGAGACTGAATTACTAAAACCTTGTAAATCAAATACGCATGACCAACATGATACGTGAAACGATTGCGCCACCTCATGGATCTTGGAACGATCAACTCAACTCCTTCTTCTGCCAATTGAAGCTGGCTGCCTGGACGGAGGACTCGCCCGTGTAGCCGAGCTTCTCCTTCCAGCCCGGGTATATCTGGTCCGCATCCTTCTGGAACGTCAAGAACGCGCCCTTGAGCTCCTCGTGCGTCTTCGCGTACTCGACGACACCGTCCGACAGGCTCACGTCGCCGTAGGTGCCTGCCTTCCACAACTTCCACGACTCCTCGCCCTGGGCGCATGAGATCGCGCCCTGCTTCGGCCCGTCCTTGTGCCCGAAGGCCCCACCGCCGGCCGTCAGGATAACGTTCGAGTGGCCCAAGTTCTCGAAGAACGCAGGCAGCCGCAAGGCGTTCATGCCACCCGAGATGATCGGGGTGGTCTGCTTCATGCCCTCCCACTCCTGCCGGTAGTAGGGGCCGTCGGCGACGTCGTCTTGCAGCATGAATCCGATGTTCTTGTCCGAAGCGTCGCCCTCCATCTTGCCAAAGCTCATCGTGCCCGTGTGGATGCCGCTGGCACCAATGACGCGCGACAACTTGGTGTGCACGAAGGCGGTGTACCCGCGCTGCGTCTGCGGGCTGGTCACTGCGCCGTGGCCGGCGCGGTGGTAGTGCAAGAATTGCTTCGGGAAGTTGCGGCGCGCAACGGTCACCGCAGTGCCGCCAGCCACGTAGCCGTCGACCAAGAAGGCGCAATTCTCCGCCATCGGGCCCATCTGGTTCAAAATGTACTTGGCACGTGCGATCATCTCGTTCGGATCATCCGCCGTAATGTTGGCTGAGAACAACTTGCCCTGGCCCGTTTCCTCCTGGGCCGCGCGCATGGCCTTCACGACTTCGGGGATGCATTCGTTCATCTGGCAGAAAGTCTGGTTGCCCTGCGGCTCATCGTTCTTGATGAAGTCGCCGCCCTGCCAGAAGCCATAGCACGCCTGGCCGAAGGGCTTCGGCTGCAGACCGAGCTTCGGCTTAATAATGGTGCCGACCACCAGACCACCACCGACCGTGCCGCGGCCCAGGATGCGCCACATGTCGATCACGCAGCACGACGGCCCGTCGAATAGGCGCAGGTACTGCGGCGGGAAATAAATATCATAGATCTTGCCGTAGTCGACGTCACCCATGCCCTGGTTGTTCCCGATGCTCAAAGTCAGCACGGAACACATCATGGCGCGGCCGTCGGTGATGTTGCGGTCGAACAAGGCCGTCGGGTAGGCGATCTTCATCTCTTCATTCTCTGGGTCGATGTAATAAACGAGCGCGTCCACAGTCTTTGTGAAGTCGTCGGTGGTGCACACGTTCACGTTCGTGCCGGTAGAGGACTCCGCCGCGAAGTGCGCCGCGGTGGCCAGGTAGTCGTAGCCCGCCTTGGGCTTCATGATGTAGGCCACCAGCACGTGCTGGCCGTTCTTGATCAGGTCCTCCTCCGTCAACGAGAGGTCCGCGTAGCGGCTCGACTGGTCCAGGGCCTGGCGGGCCACGGAGCTCGCTTTGCGAGTCTTGCTGGCGCCAACGAACGCCGCGGCCAAATCCTTCTTCTGCCAATTGAAGCTGGCTGCCTGGACGGAGGACTCGCCCGTGTAGCCGAGCTTCTCCTTCCAGCCCGGGTAGATCTGGTCCGCATCCTTCTGGAACGTCAAGAACGCGCCCTTGAGCTCCTCGTGCGTCTTCGCGTACTCGACGACGCCGTCCGACAGGCTCACGTCGCCGTAGGTGCCTGCCTTCCACAACTTCCACGACTCCTCGCCCTGGGCGCACGAGATCGCACCCTGCTTCGGCCCGTCCTTGTGCCCGAAAGCCCCACCGCCAGCCGTCAGGATGACGTTCGAGTGGCCCAAGTTCTCGAAGAACGCAGGCAGCCGCAAGGCGTTCATGCCACCCGAGATGATCGGGGTGGTCTGCTTCATGCCCTCCCACTCCTGGCGGTAGTAGGGGCCGTCGGCGACGTCGTCTTGCAGCATGAAGCCGATGTTCTTGTCCGAAGCGTCGCCCTCCATCTTGCCAAAGCTCATCGTGCCCGTGTGGATGCCACTGGCACCGATGACGCGCGACAGCTTGGTGTGCACGAAGGCGGTGTACCCACGCTGCGTCTGCGGGCTGGTCACTGCGCCGTGGCCGGCGCGGTGGTAGTGCAGGAACTGCTTCGGGAAGTTGCGGCGCGCAACGGTCACCGCAGTGCCGCCAGCCACGTAGCCGTCGACCAAGAAGGCGCAATTCTCCGCCATCGGGCCCATCTGGTTCAAGATGTACTTGGCACGTGCGATCATCTCGTTCGGGTCATCCGCCGTAATGTTGGCGAGAACAACTTGCCCTGGCCCGTTTCCTCCTGGGCCGCGCGCATGGCCTTCACGACTTCGGGGATGCATTCGTTCATCTGGCAGAACGTCTGGTTGCCCTGCGGCTCATCGTTCTTGATGAAGTCGCCGCCCTGCCAGAAGCCATAGCACGCCTGGCCGAAGGGCTTCGGCTGCAAGCCGAGCTTGGGCTTGATAATGGTGCCGACCACCAGGCCACCGCCGACCGTGCCGCGGCCCAGGATGCGCCACATGTCGATCACGCAGCACGACGGCCCGTCGAACAGGCGCAGGTACTGCGGCGGGAAATAGATATCATAGATCTTGCCGTAGTCGACGTCACCCATACCCTGGTTGTTCCCGATGCTCAGGGTCAGCACGGAACACATCATGGCGCGGCCGTCGGTGATGTTGCGGTCGAACAAAGCCGTCGGGTAGGCGATCTTCATCTCTTCGTTCTCTGGGTCGATGTAGTACACGAGCGCGTCCACAGTCTTTGTGAAGTCGTCGGTGGTGCACACGTTCACGTTCGTGCCTGTGGAGGACTCCGCCGCGAAGTGCGCCGCGGTGGCCAGGTAGTCGTAGCCCGCCTTGGGCTTCATGATGTAGGCCACCAGCACGTGCTGGCCGTTCTTGATCAGGTCCTCCTCCGTCAACGAGAGGTCCGCGTAGCGGCTCGACTGGTCCAGGGCCCGGCGGGTCACAGAGCTCGCTTTGCGAGCCTTGCTGGCGCCAACGAACGCCGCGGCCAACTCCTTCTTCTGCCAATTGAAGCTGGCTGCCTGGACGGAGGACTCGCCCGTGTAGCCGAGCTTCTCCTTCCAGCCCGGGTAGATCTGGTCCGCATCCTTCTGGAACGTCAAGAACGCGCCCTTGAGCTCCTCGTGCGTCTTCGCGTACTCGACGACGCCGTCCGACAGGCTCACGTCGCCGTAGGTGCCTGCCTTCCACAACTTCCACGACTCCTCGCCCTGGGCGCACGAGATCGCGCCCTGCTTCGGCCCGTCCTTGTGCCCGAAGGCCCCGCCGCCGGCCGTCAGGATAACGTTCGAGTGGCCCAAGTTCTCGAAGAACGCAGGCAGCCGCAAGGCGTTCATGCCACCCGAGATGATCGGGGTGGTCTGCTTCATGCCCTCCCACTCCTGGCGGTAGTAGGGGCCGTCGGCGACGTCATCTTGCAGCATGAAGCCGATGTTCTTGTCCGAAGCGTCGCCCTCCATCTTGCCAAAGCTCATCGTGCCCGTGTGGATGCCGCTGGCACCGATGACGCGCGACAACTTGGTGTGCACGAAGGCGGTGTACCCGCGCTGCGTCTGCGGGCTGGTCACTGCGCCGTGGCCGCGCGGTGGTAGTGCAGGAATTGCTTCGGGAAGTTGCGGCGCGCAACGGTCACCGCAGTGCCGCCAGCCACGTAGCCGTCGACCAAGAAGGCGCAATTCTCCGCCATCGGGCCCATCTGGTTCAAAATGTACTTGGCACGTGCGATCATCTCGTTCGGGTCATCCGCCGTAATGTTGGCGGAGAACAACTTGCCCTGGCCCGTTTCCTCCTGCCGCGCGCATGGCCTTCACGACTTCGGGATGCATTCGTTCATCTGGCAGAAAGTCTGGTTGCCCTGCGGCTCATCGTTCTTGATGAAGTCGCCGCCCTGCCAGAAGCCATAGCACGCCTGGCCGAAGGGCTTCGGCTGCAGGCCGAGCTTCGGCTTAATAATGGTGCCGACCACCAGACCACCACCGACCGTGCCGCGGCCCAGGATGCGCCACATGTCGATCACGCAGCACGACGGCCCGTCGAATAGGCGCAGGTACTGCGGCGGGAAATAAATATCATAGATCTTGCCGTAGTCGACGTCACCCATGCCCTGGTTGTTCCCGATGCTCAAAGTCAGCACGGAACACATCATGGCGCGGCCGTCGGTGATGTTGCGGTCGAACAAGGCCGTCGGGTAGGCGATCTTCATCTCCTCGTTCTCAGGATCGATGTAGTACACGAGCGCGTCCACAGTCTTTGTGAAGTCGTCGGTGGTGCACACGTTCACGTTCGTGCCGGTAGAGGACTCCGCCGCGAAGTGCGCCGCGGTGGCCAGGTAGTCGTAGCCCGCCTTGGGCTTCATGATGTAGGCCACCAGCACGTGCTGGCCGTTCTTGATCAGGTCCTCCTCCGTCAACGAGAGGTCCGCGTAGCGGCTCGACTGGTCCAAGGCCCGGCGGGCCACGCTGGCGCGCGATTGGACCGGAACAACGCACGAGGCCTGGCCCGCCGCCAGCTTGCTGGCGCGACCGCGGCGCTTGGACCCGACCGCCGCGGCGAGGGCGGCAGCGGCCGCCGGCGCTGCCAGGGCCGCGGCTTTCCCCGTGGGGCTGGGCTGTTGGGCGTGCGCGGCGCCGCGGAGGGCGGGGGCCGCCTGCGCAGGGGAAGCCTGTAGCGTCTCCTCGACGGCGGCGAGGGGCGCAACCTGCGAGGACACGAAGGACTGGCCCTGCTTCAAACAAACGACGGCCGCCAGGCCAGCGGCAGCCCCGAGCGAGGCGCGTTGGGCCATGGCGCGGGTAGGGTCGAGCCGAACTCGCACGGTCGGCCAGCGGTTTGTGCTAAAATTGTTTCAGCCAAAACGGCTTGAGCCAAAATGGATACGGAAGGGGAAGTCCTGGAGTTTGTCCCAACCATCCTGTGGTGTTGGGTCCCCGTTTTGAAGAGACAACGCCCCGCGATCCCGCTCCTCCCCCCACTCTCCCTCCTCACATCGTCGTCATCGTCATCATCACCATCATCATCATCATCATCATCATCATCATCATCATCATCATCATCATCATCGTCCTCCTCCTTCTCAGCATAATCATCATCATCATCATCACCACCATCATCATCATCATCATCATCATCATCATCATCATCATCATCGTCATCATCAGCATCATCATCATCATCAGCAGCATCAGCATCAGCATCCTCATCCTCATCCTCATCCTCATCCTCATCCTCATCACCATCATCATCATCATCATCATCATCATCATCATCATCATCATCGTCATCATCATCATCATCATCATCATCATCATCAGCATCCTCATCATCACCATCTCGGCACACTCCTCACACGTTTCGTGGCCTCCTCCTCCTCATCATCATCATCCTCCGCTCCTGTTGCTTATGAAGAACGCCTTGCTGTCGCACCCCGAGGCCGGTCGACAGGGCGGGCCGGGCGTTTCGCCTGAGCCTTCCTCACCATCCATGATCCTGAAGCTTGAAATCTGCAAAAGCTTCACGGATAGAGGGTGGCTCGCTTTCAACACGTGGCTCTCGCATTAGCGCCGCGTGCACTCGTCTTAAGGATTCGCAACAAGAGTTTCAAGGATTCTCATGGCTGGTGTCCCAAAAACGGTGTTATGGTACGATGTCGGAATGTCAAGGCGCAACAGTTACGCTGATTCGCTGCGTTGGAGTCCCAGGAACGGCGCTCTGACACGATTCACGATCGCCAAAACGCAGCAGTAACGGTGATTCGCGGCGTTGAAGTCCCAGGGATGGTGTTCTGGCACAGTTCCCGATTTCAAACGGTTGTATTCCAACGGGGCTTTTCGCCTAGTGCAACTGAATCAGTGTAAGAGCCGATGTGCCCGAATGCACAATTATGCGACCGAGCGGAAACCATCATGTGACCGAATGGAAAAGATGATGCGCCCAAATGGAGAAGGACAAACCGCATGGGGCACCCTCCATGCCGCGACCGACTCGGGCACGCCAAGACGACCGCATTCACTCGGGTATCGATTCGGGCACCAATCGGGGGCGTCCCCGTGCACTTTTGGCCCATCTGTCCGGGCGCCATCCGGACGCGGCCGTGCGAAACGCGGGCTGGCGGCGGGCGCGTCGGGGAGTCGGTCGCGCGAATGCTCTTTCGAGCGCGCCGAAGCGGCGGCGGCGGCGGCGGTAGTGGCGCGGATCGGGGCAGCGGTGAAGGCGGCGCTGGGAGGCCGCGCCAGGCACGTTGACGCGCCGGGCACGCCAGGTGCCAAGCGTGCCGCTTGTGCGCCAGATACACCCACTGCGCGAAGCACGCCATGTGCTGCTCCAGCCGCACCAGGGGCGCCAATTGTGCCAAGCTCGCCACTGGCCCCAGGAATGGCAGGCGTGCCATGCGCGCCAGGTGCGCAGGTGCGCAAGGCGCGGGAAGGTCCAACCAAGCGCGCAGCACACGCGCAGCAGATAACTGGCCAAATTATGACCAACACACTCCCGCGGCCCCGAAAGCCACTACGAACCATCCGTCAAGACCTAGCCATGCCATTGCACGTCAGTGCATCAACGCTTCATTTCGAGCGCCAGAAGCGATCAGCAACAAGCTATCGTTGGGAACGACGGCCAGCGGGACACTGCTGCCCGACACCACGCACAGCGCACGGGCTGATCCAGACCGCACGCACGCCGCACCACGCGAAACTATCCCCTGAAGATCGCTAGATCCACGGCGCGAGCAGCGCCAGGCTTCGAAATCAAAGCGCGTTCGGGCACGCCCTGTTCGGAACTTGGGCCCGCGCGCCCAAGACTTTCGGGCCTCTTGGGGGCCTAGGTCCACTTTGGGGCCCTTTGGGGGGCCTCTCAGGGGCTCTCAGGGACCTCTTGGAACCTCCTAGTCCCTTTTGGAACCCTCTCGGATCCTTTGGGGCCATCTTGAGGACCTCCTGAGCTATCATGAAGGCGACTTGAATGGGGCCTCCTGGATCGTCTTGGACTGTGTCAGTATACATCAAGCGAGCACGCTAAACACAAAACAACAAGTTTTGCTCAAGGGATGCGCCATGGTTTGCCTGTTAGCGTCCTCTGGGGAATCCTATTGAAGCACTCTCGGGGCGTCTTGGGGGCCATGTTGGCAGTCTCGAAGCCACCTTGGGAGTACTGGGCGCTCTTAGGCCCGAAACATGTTGGGACCCTCCATGGCCGTCTGGACAAAACCCGACGGGGCCTGGTCCCGAATTGGGAATTCGTGGACCTGGCTTTCTCTTGACCTGAAATACCTGATTATCCTTCCCCGGGTAGATGTGTGCATGTAGATTCGTACGCCTATATTTATGTAGGTTAACTATTGCAACGTCACCACCAGTTGTGGAAAAACTACCACGACCTTTACTGCTACCGCCACGACCACGGACACGACCGCTTCCATCGCCACTATCGGCATCCACTCCCTATCCTCCTGCTCCTCCTCCTCCTCCTCCTCCTCCTCCTCCTCCTCCTCCTCCTCCTCCTCCTCCTCTTCCTCCTTCTCTTTCTCCTCCCTCCTCCGCCCTTTCTTGCGCTTCGCTCGCGCATGTTTGAGACGGAAGGGGAAGGGTCCTCACCCCGGGGGGGCACCCCAGGCCCAGGACCAACACGTCACTCCGAGTCGTTCTGCTGACGGACCCGGCGGCGTAGCATTGGGGAGCCTCTGAAGCGGGCCCACGCGAGATACCTCGTAAGATCTCCTGGGAGGGCAATGGGTGGCATCTTGCAGGTCTGTTGTGACGGTTCTGGGGATCCCGACGGGTTCTCCGCTTTATTTTAGGCCTCTGGGAGCCTGGGAGGCTCTTGGGGTCCAAAAATGGTGGGCACGACTCGAGGTGTCGGTGTTGGGGTTGCTTTTTGCCTCCTTGTGGTGCCTTCTTGACTGCCTCGAGATCCCTCTTGGAGACCCTCTTGGGCCAGTCTTAGGTTTCTTGGGGGTCCGCTGGGAGGTCTCTGGGACAGTCTCGTAGCAAGATTGGGCCCTCGCGACCCGTCGTGTGAAGTCAGGCGCTCGAGACACAATCCTGGAGTCCTGGAACGCTCCGGGCCCATGTCCAAGGCATCTGGGATCGTCTGGATGGGGTCCTGGAGTTTGTTTTTTGTTCTGGCAAACGCCTGCCCCATCAGAGGTCTGATTTGCACTCGGCGCGTCAAATACGAAGCTGGGCAGTCGGCCAAATGTTCGTGTGAAACTTTACCTGACAATGAGAACGGACGCGACCACTGTGCACGTTGCACACAAATCGCTGACATGCTTACAACGCTGGCCTATGAGACGCGGCTTGAGGGCTAGCCAGCCGCTTGCCCAGAGCAAGCTGGCCAACTCGAAAACGGTATGCCAAAATAGAGCGCTCAAAATACACCCGAAAATCGAAGTACTAAAAACCTTGTAAAACAAACACGCATGACCAACATGATACGTGAAACGATTGTGTCATTTCATGGATTTTTGAACGATCAGCTCATCTCCTTCTTCTGCCAATTGAAGCTGGCTGCCTGGACGGAGGACTCGCCCGTGTAGCCGAGCTTCTCCTTCCAGCCCGGGTAGATCTGGTCCGCATCCTTCTGGAACGTCAAGAACACGCCCTTGAGCTCCTCGTGCGTCTTCGCGTACTCGACGACACCGACCGATAGGCTCAGGTCGCCGTAGGTGCCTGCCTTCCACAACTTCCACGACTCCTCGCCCTGGGCGCACGAGATCGCGCCCTGCTTCGGCCCGTCCTTGTGCCCGAAAGCCCCACAGCCGGCCGTCAGGATAACGCTCGAGTGGCCCAAGTTCTCGAAGAACGCAGGCAACCGCAAAGCGTTCATGCCACCCGAAATGATCGGGGTGGTCTGCTTCATGCCCTCCCACTCCTGCCGGTAGTAGGGGCCGTCGGCGACGTCGTCTTGCAGCATGAATCCGATGTTCTTGTCCGAAGCGTCGCCCTCCATCTTGCCAAAGCTCAGCGCCAAGATCGAACCTTCATCGAAGGTTCTACCACAAAAGTGGTCGACCTCAGGGGAGGTCGGAGGCCCACCTCAGGAGAGGTAGGTGGTCGGCTGCGCAAGTCCTCAGGCGGGGGCCGCTGCTCCAGCATCAGCTGCAAGAGCTGCGCCGGCACGGCGTCCTCCCTCCTCATCTGCCTCCTGCTGGTGCTGATCGTCCGTGTCGGCTATGAAGCTGTCGGTGCTACCGTCGTCGTCGTCTCTGTCGTGTGCTGCTGCTGCAGTGCTGTCGTCCGTGACGTCAATGAAGCAGTCGGTGCTACCGCAGTCGTCGTCACTGTCGTGTGCTGCTGCTGCTGTGCTGTCGTCCATGTCGTCTATGAAGCTGCTGGTGCTGCCGTCGTCGTCGTCCTCCTCCCTCTCCTCCCCCTCCACCATCCCCGCCTCCTCCCTGAGCCCCTCGGCCGACGAGCGGCGCGTCGAGGGAGGTGAGGAGTGGCGCAAACGCTGCGCACTTCGGAGTGGTGTTGGTGGGAGCTGTGGGTCACTGCTGCAGGTGGCTGCTGTTGGTGGTTGGCTGTGCTCGTCGGAGGGGCGAACCCGTGCATCGGCTGTGGGTGTTGGTGGTCGCTGGTGTGAGCTGCTGCTGGTGGCGGCCCGGCGCTGCATCCGCAAGCGCTCGTGTGCACAGTGGACCGTGCATTCGCGCACGCTCGCCATGAGGTCAATGCGCTGCCTGAAAGCGTTCATCTGTCGTCGCCCTCTCAGAGGCCGGCAGGGCCAGCCCGTCCTCCGCGTGAAGGCGGATGCTGGGACCGGCACTCCTCTCCGCCAGGGCCGGAAGAGGTCACAGCCCCAGAAATCATGCTCGGCTCCGGCTACTGCGCCAGCGGTGCACCTGGTGCACAGAGTGGCTGCTGGGTCGTCTCCTCGAGCCACGGCCCGCCGGCTGTCGGACCAGTAGTCTCCCGTCAGTACACTCAGGTAGTGCACGGCTCCTGTCGCCCGCTTACCGCTGATCAGCTTCATCACCACGAGGCCGGCACGATGACAGTACGGGACCTGTTCGGCTCGGGCCAGATGAGCATCACGGCGGTTGGACTCCTTATACGCCTGCCACAGATCCTGGCGGAGCGCCATCCGGAGAGCGTGGTCTCGCTCCCCCGGCGGCGCCGTCAAAGGCACCTGCAGCCGTCTCGCGGCAGCGCTGGACGTGAAAACGCCCGCGCCTCCCTGTCCGGGGCCAAAGGTCCACCCCAGCAGGCGCATGTAGTGAAGGAGAGCTCCTGTCACCCCTGCACATTCCAAGCCGTATCTCAGTCTGAGATCCAGGAAGCTCTGGAGCTTCGCCGCGCCACTCCTGGCGCACCGGCCTGCGGCGAAGGCCCACAGGCGGCGCGCCAGGAGGTAGCGCGGGCTGGCCGCGTGCTGCACCGCGACGAGGTCCAGCAGATGCCTCGACGCCGACGTGCCCTTGCCCAGGCGCAGGCTGCGCCGGATCGCCGCCTCCAGGTCGCTCAGGGCTGTCCGTGGCAGCCACCTCAGGACGGCGGCCCACGACAGGGATGCGAGGGCACACCCGCCGACAGCTGCCCTCTTGTGCCCCACCGTCGAGGGGAGGGCTCTGATCCGGCCAATGCGCCGCTTGCAAATGGCCAACTTGGATCTCTCTGCCTCCGTCAGGGCGGCACCCTTGCCAAGCATGAGTTCCAGGCCCAAGACCTTGATCTGCTCTGCACCCACGGAGTTGCCAAGACCCTCGCAACGATGCAGCTTCCGTCTCTTCTGCCTCCGCCGGGTCACGTGGACCGCGAAATCAGCCTGCTTGCTCGGCGCAGAACGCAGGGCGGTGTGCTCCTCCAGCTGCGCCCAGACGCCCTCCACCTCGTCCATGTGCTGCCTCGAGGGGACAGCCGCCGTGCGATCATCTGCGTACACCGACAGCACCGCGGCCGGCACGGTCCTGCGGAGCCGCCACACTGCAGGGGCAAGAACAGACGCCATGCCCAGCATGCCACACACGCAGCCTTGGGGCATCGAGGCGCTGACGTCGACTGGGCGTTTCGCTACGCACCCCCCGAGCTCGATCCATCTCTCCTGGCGCCGCCAGAGGCTGTGAACACTGCGGACAATGTAGTCTGGGATACCCCAGTCGAGCCAGAGGGCCGAGACCAGGTCCGGGCAGACCGTGTCGAAGGCGGAAGCGAAGTCCCAGGCGCGCACAAACGTGTCATGCCACAGCTCCTGGAAGGCGGGCTCGTCCCAGATCCTGTCCAACTCGTCTTCGTCGACGCCGCTTTCCTCTATCTCCTGCGCCAGAACTGCCTCCTCGATCTTCTCAAGGAGGGGGTCTACCAAGGTCTCAAGCCGCCTGCCGGTGAGCCCGCCCGCCTGGCAGGTGTCGAAGCCCGCGTGCAGGTGGTCCGCGATCTGTGCACAGCGTAGGCGCAGCCATGCTCGAGTCACCGTGGGCCCAATGGCGATCGGGCGGAGCTTGTGGTACTGCTTGTTGCCGTCGCTCTTGGGGATCATCACCTGGCGGAGGAGCTGGAAAGGACGAGGCCAACGTCCCTGGCGTTCCGCGCGCAGGCAGAGGTCCCTCAGCTCCTCCAGCGCGTCGTCGGGCAAGTAGAGGAGCTCGGAAGCCCGCCAGCCGTCGACTCCCCCCGCTGTTTTCCGCATCTTGTGCAGGCTGCGTCGGAAGTCCCTCAGGGTCGGTTCCGAGAAGCTGCTCTCTAGGTGCCGGATAGGTGCCGGCAGGCGGTCAAATCTCTGCTGAATCCGTGCTTTGACCTCAGCAATTTCTCCTGCGAAGTCGGTGCAAAAACCCTCCACGTCTGTGCCTCTGTTGCGGATATCGGCAAAGTGGGAGTCCCAGTAGCCCACCACCTTCTCCAAAGCGTCCGCGCCGTCATACCAAGTACCGTCGGGGCCCTGGGCTGAGCAGAAGGAATCAGCGACCGTGTCGCCCTTGATCCATGCGTAAGCCTTGCGCCCCATGCTGGTCATGTTGCGTCGCCAGGCCCGGATACGCTCCTGCTTGTTCTTTGCCAACTCTTTTTCCAGGCATTCCTCGGCGCTCCGGAGAACGTCCTTCGGGGTCTGGCCCTTGTGTGGTATCTGCAGGTGCTGTGCAGCAGCGTGTAGCTCTTGGGCAAGGTGCTGGCGCTGCTGGGCCGCGCGGCCGTCTCTCTTGCTCGGTAGGGCCAGCACCGCGTGCCCAAGCCCCACCAAGGTCCTCAGACCTCGCTCCCGGCAGGTCATGCCGTCGAGGATCTCTTCCTGGCGGATTGGGACCCGCTTCAGCTCCGTCTTGCGGGGGCCCGCCTCTGGCCGGCGGCTGGCCCGGCGAAGGAGGTCCTCTGCCCGGTCGCTCCAGGAGGTCCACCAGGCATCTATATCGCAGTCTGCAGCGTGCTCGTAAGGCTCCCAGGCGGCGCCCGCGAGGGTCTCCTGCCAGTGCTTGTAGGCGTCGGCGTCGTCTGTCGGTGCTGTGAAGGTGCCTGCGTTTCGCCACCGCTGCGTGCCCTCGTCGGCCTTGAGGTGCTGGCAGGGAAAAGAGACAACCACCATCTTGTGGTCCGCAATGACGTCGTCGCAGACTCTTGCGCTGACTCCCCAGCCTCGTTGAAGGCGGAGAAGAAAGTAATCGATCGCACCGCTGTCCTCCTTGGCCTGCCACCGGGTGGGGCCACCAGGGTCTGCCAGGAGCACTGCCGCATGCGCCTGCCACGCGGCCTGCACAGCAATGGTGCCCTCCGCCGCCGGCTCGTTCCAGTCGCCTCCAAGCAGCAGATTGCTCGACCGCGGGTGTGAGGCCACTGAGGTTTCGAGGGCATCGTCAAAGGCCTTTGCTTGAGCGTCAGTCGCTGCGTCGCGTCTGTGAATGTTGTATACAATCATCCTGTCCTTCTGCCTGGTCACTTCGAAGACGGCGAATTCGCCACCAGGGTCCCTGTGGCTATCGAGTCTCCTGGCATGCCAGCCGCTGCGTGTTGCTAGGGCCAATCCGCCGAATTTAGCCGCTTGTCGCCCTCTGCTGGGTAGCTGCCAGGGTTGCCCGTCGGAGCCCCAAACGAGGCCCCAGCCCGCCTTGCGAAACAGGGCTGCGGAGCCGGCCAGCTCAGTCTGATCCAGTCTGGTCTCCTGAATCAGAACGATTTCCGCTTTCTGCCTGGTGGCGGCGGCCAGTAAGGCGTCTCGGTGCTTGTGAAAAGTCGACACATTCACTGTTGCAAACTGCGCGATCTCTGCTGTGTGCTGATTGCTATCCTCTGTCTGGGGAGGAGGCCCCGCCTTAGCATCGATGTATGCGTAGCGGCACCATGGCTAGATCCTCTCGCCCCTGGGCGGCCTGAGGGCCCAGGAACCGCCGGACCAGGGCCGCCATCCTGTCGAGCACCTCTGTCTCGCCCTTGTACCCTTCTGGGCATCTCGTAAGGTCAAAGGGGGACCGTGCCCCGGGCCGCTTGTACTTGAAGGTGCCGACAGCCAGAGTGGCGAGCTCTGTGCTGAGCTGCTGCAGGCGAGCAGGGGGCTGAGAGGACCACGTCCCGCGCAAGGCCTGCTTGTCGGTCTCGGTCAGCGTGTGCCAGATGCGCAAGAAGGTCTGTGACAACCAGGGTGCGCACTCTGTGCTCCATACTGGCCCTGGGCAGGGGCGCAGGTGCCCGAAGAGGGGCCCAAGGCGGCCCCGGCTGCTCTGTCTGAAGTTGCTGTCATGGACTAACAAGTTGCACAACTTGCACGTGGCGAATCTTGTGCGCTTGGGCCTGCTTGGGTGCCCGCCTTCCAGGTGGATGGGGACAAGGTCGTGTCCTTGCACCTTGACAAAGTATGCCAGGTCCCCGGACGCTCGCCGCTTCGCTCTGGCCGCCTCTCGTGCCTCGGCGGTCAGGGCGCCGAGGCCCTTCTTGACCGCCTCCTGGCCCTTCACCGTGGCGTGGCGCGCATAGTTCCGGGCCGACAGTTCCATGGAGGTCCACTGTTTCGCCGTCACGGCGGGGTGTGCTTGTCTGCGATGTGCTTTCCGCTGTTCCCTCTGCTGGCGGATGGTGCCGCAGTCGCGCTGTCGGACCCTGCACAGCTGGCAGGTCCAGACCGTTTCCTCGATCGGAACCTCGTGTGAGAGTCGGCTGAGGGGCGCCCCGTTGACACGCAGCGCGGCGACATCTGGATGGCAACGCCGGAGGTGCTCCCGCCGTCGCTCCAGGAGCAGCTTGCGGCTCCCGCACTGCGTGCTCCAGCCGCACGTGCACTGCCAACTTCCGCTTGCGGTGCTGGTTGTCGGTGCTGGTGCTGTCGCCGTTGCAGGTGCTGGTGCTCGCTGGTGCTGGCTGCTGGTGTCGGTGCTGCTGTCGTTACTCGCTGCTGGTGCTGGTGCTGGTGTCGGGGCTGTCGTCGTTGCTGGTGCTGGTGCCTGCTTCGGTGCTGGTGCTGTCGCCGTTGCTGGTGCTGGTGCTCGCTGATGCTGGCTGCTGGTGTCGGTGCTGCTGTCGTTACTCGCTGCTGGTGCTGGTGCTGGTGTCGGGGCTGTCGTCGTTGCTGGTGCTGGTGCCTGCTTCTGCCGCTTCAGAAGCGTCGAGGCCATCGTATGCCCTCGAACTCGGCCGCCTGCTCTGGAACGGCCTCGTCCTCGTCCTCCTCGTCCTCGTCCTCTGCCTCCTGCGCTGGAAGTGCCTCGTCCTCCTCCTCTACCTCCTGATATGCTTCCTGGTGCTGCGCTGGAAGTACCTCGTCCTCCTCCTCTACCTCCTGATCTGCTTCCTGGTGCTTCCTCCTCCTCCTCCTTGTCTGCACGGCGCCGTCGCAAGGCAGCGAAATCCGAGTCGACGGAGCTCCTGTGGCTCTGGACGTCCACCGCACGGCGCTGCCGCAGGTCGCGAAAGAAGGAGTCTGTACTGGACTGGGAGGCCGCCCGAGAGGGCATACCTACACGAGGGATCTTCTCTATAAATTTGATGACTTCTTTTTCTTTGGGGCGCTTGCGGCTGAGCTGCGACCTGAAGCTCTGGTCACGGGGAACAAGCACGAAGCAGTGCCCACCCCGGAACCCCAAGTGCAGCGGAGGGTTGTCGAGAGCCCCCCGGACCGCCTTGCCGGCGCTCTCGCGCGGCCAGCAATCCCACCGCTGCAGCCACCGCCACTTGTCACCTTCCAGAAGTCCCCCAGTGTAAATGAAGATCTGACTGTGCAGGTGTGTGGCAGCAGCGAGGGTGACCGCCGCATCGCCCCATCGTGTAGGCTTGGTCTTGATCAGGTGTATGTAATCCTCCCATGTCGTAGGCTTGGACTCGTCACTCACGTGCTCTGGGATGTGCTTGATGAAGGGCTCGTAGTACTCCCTGTTGTTCTCGAGCTCCACGACCACCTCGGCACGCATGGTCTTCGCCAGGCTGGCGGCCTTGGCGGGCTTGACCAAGTCCGCCTTGGCTTTACCATGGGCCAAGAAGTAGGCGATGGCAGTGTGCCGGTACTGGCAGTCACCACCGTTCGTCCCAGCATCGATCTCTTCGAAGTCGTCTTTGGCCCAGCCCTTAGTCGCGGCTCGAGTGGGCTGCTGCGCAGGTGCTGTCGGTTTCGAGGCTCCCTCCGCTCGGGCCTCCGAGGTCGGGGCAGCCTCTGCTGTCTGCTGCTGCTGGGGTGGTTGCTGCGGCTGCTGGGTCGTAGCGGCTTTGGCCTTCGCCTCCTCCGCCTTCGCGTCGGCCGCTGCTTTAGCGCGGTCTCGCTCCTCGGTCAGCGTCTGCGCTGCCCGAGCGTCCTCCTGGTTGCGCCGTGTCGCTCGCTCCTCAGCGGCTTTGGCCCGATCCGAGGCTTCCATGCCCTCTAGGTCTGCATCCTCCTCCGCCCTGGCGGCGGCCCGGGCCCGGCAGGCCTGCTCGTATGCGACCTCATACACGGGCTTGCCGGCGTCAGCGCCCTGGCTGCGGGCCCACCGAGCGCGCCTCGTCTTGACTGTCTTCACCTCCTCCTGCGAGCCCCGTGGAGCCATGACGTACCGCTCCACCCTGACCGCCGCTCTGCCGGTGTCACCGGGGAAGGTGATCTTCCAGGCATCTGCCTTGGTAGTGGTGTCGTGGCCCGGTCTGCTGTGGTGCGGGTCCGCGCGGACCAGCCACCCGAACCGTCCCGAGGGCTTGTCGCGTATCTCGACTTGTCTCCATCCGCTGTTTGTCAGCCACCCCGTCAGCATTTCTGGGGCCCACTCGTTGACGCCATGGATCCGCCAGGTGCTGAGTGGGGTCTCAGTCGGCCGGAGGCCTCGCACCCCAAGGTCAGAGTTGCTGCCAGGGCGAAGCACGAGCCCCTTGGATTCGGCCTCGTCCGTCGCAATCTTCATGACTCTCGCGTGGTACAGCTCGTTCTCCTCATCCTTGTGCCGGGCGATCCACCGCACGGGGTAGTCGTCAGGCGTCTTGCCCCTGTCGCGGGCGATGACGCGGTAGAACCGGCCAGATGACCCGCTGAAGGTAGTGATGAGTTTATCTGCGTCTGCCCGCAGTACCTTGATGTACATATGGGCCTCGAGCACCCGGCTGCTCTTGCTGTCAACTTTCTCCGCAAACCCTTCGGCGGCCACGACACTAGCCAGAGGCATCCCGCGGGTAGCGAACTCCCCAGGGTTCTGCCTGGCGGAGGTCCATTCCGCAGGGGTGGTGTACTCTCGCTTTACTGTGCAGCGCAAGGTGACAGAATCTTGCTGTGCTGGGGCGGCGGCGCCCTCCACGGCTCGGAGCGGCGGGGCGGACTTGCCCCCGTCTCCCGAGCCAAGGGTCACGGTGGTGCATCGTTTCAGGGTCGGTCGACCTTGTACTAGGGCCTCCACGTAAGACACGTTGGAGCCGGGTGGAGCTTCGTCTGCTGGGGTGTCTGAGCACACCATGAGAAACGGCTTGGCGATCTCGTGCTGGGTGGCTAGGGCCTGCGCCTCCTGGAGCTGGGTCGCACTCATCACGCAGACGTCCCCGGCGGGGTCATTGCCCTCCCGGAGAGCTTCCAGCACCTCGTGCCCGTGTGGATGCCGCTGGCACCGATGACGCGCGACAGCTTGGTGTGCACGAAGGCGGTGTACCCACGCTGCGTCTGAGGGCTGGTCACTGCGCCGTGGCCGGCGCGGTGGTAGTGCAGAAACTGCTTCGGGAAATTGCGGCGCGCAACGGTCACCGCAGTGCCCCCGGCCACGTATCCGTCGACCAAAAATGCGCAATTCTCCGCCATCGGGCCCATCTGATTCAAGATGTACTTGGCACGCGCGATCATCTCGTTCGGGTCGTCCGCCGTAATGTTGGCGGAGAACAGCTTGCCCTGGCCCGTTTCCTCCTGGGCCGCGCGCATGGCCTTCACGACTTCGGGGATGCATTCGTTCATTTGGCAAAACGTCTGGTTGCCCTTGCGGTTCGTCGTTTCTTGATGAAAGTCACGCCCTGCCAGAAGCCATAGACGCCTGGCCGAAGGAGCTTCGGCTGCAAGCCGAGCATGGGCTTAATGATGGGTGCCGACCACCAGGCCACCGCCGACCGTGCCGCGGCCCAGAATGCGCCACATGTCGATCACGCAGCACGACGGCCCGTCGAACAGGCGCAGGTACTGCGGCGGGAAGTAGATATCGTAGATCTTGCCGTAGTCGACGTCACCCATACCCTGGTTGTTCCCGATGCTGAGAGTCAGCACGGAGCACATCATTGCACGGCCATCGGTGATGTTGCGGTCGAACAAGGCCGTCGGGTAGGCGATCTTCATCTCTTCGTTCTCCGGGTCAATGTAGTAAACGAGTGCGTCCACAGTCTTGGTGAAGTCGTCGGTGGTGCACACGTTCACGTTCGTGCCTGTGGAGGACTCCGCCGCGAAGTGCGCCGCCGTGGCCAGGTAGTCGTAACCCGCCTTGGGCTTCATGATGTAGGCCACCAGCACGTGCTGGCCGTTCTTGATCAGGTCCTCCTCCGTCAGCGAGAGGTCCGCGTAGCGGCTCGACTGGTCCAGGGCGCGGCGGGCCACGCTGGCGCGCGCGCGGACCGAAACAACCGACGAGGTCTGGCCTGCCGCCAACTTGCTGGCGCGACCGCGGCGCTTGGACCCGACGGCCGCGGCGAGGGCGGCCGCGGCCGCCGGTGCTGCCAGGGCCGCCGCTCCCCCCGAGGGGCTGGACTGCTGGGCGTGCGCGGCGCCGCGGAGGGCGGGGGCCTCCGGAGCGGAAGCCTGCAGCGTCTCCTCGACGGCCGCGCGGGGCGCACCCTGCGACGACACGAAGGACTGGCCGTGCTTCAGGCAAGCGACGGCCGCCAGGCCAGCGGCAGCCCCGAGCGAGGCGCGCTGGGCCATGGTGCGGTAGGGCCGAGCCGATGGGGCTCACACGGTCTCCGCTGTGGTTCGGCAGAGCAGGCCTCAGCCAAAACGGCTGCGGAGAAGGACAGGGGAAGGAAGCGAGGAGGACAGGGAATGGGAGAAGACGAAGAGAGGGGGAAGGACGAGGAGGTGACCATGGAGATTGGTATACATGATTCCTGCCGAGCACATCGTAACACATCGGTACCATACTCTGGGTTTCGTAATAAGCGTGGGGGGATACGGGGGTCAACGTCGCCTCGTCGTCGCGACGCGACGGGGGTCCGAGCGCCTTCGGCGCGCGGTGGCTGCCCGCGACGGGGGTCGATGTGGGGCTGTCGGCGGGGGTGACGCCCCCCCGAGGCTTGTTAAGGAACTCGGAGTAACATCAAGTCGTAGCCTAAGAAGCAGAGCATCGGCATAAGGTCGATCAAGATTAAGCGAAGATGAGGCCTCAAATGGTAATAGGCTCTACTACAGATCGCATAGCCTAGGAATGTCATACACCTGTAATGCGCTCAAAGAAGTCTCCTGCCAGAACTCCAACGATTCCCCGCACGCACAACACACTGAACGCAAAAACACAGACGCCCACAGCACCGCAGACATGTGCAGCTCTGAACTCGGACAGCTCAAACCAAGACAGCAACCCGCCGCAGCTGGCGATGCGTCCCCAACCCTCATGTGTGCTGGGCCCTCTCATGAATAGAGCACTGCTGCACTCCGTAGCCGGTCTGGCTCAAGGCCATAGCCAGCTCAGGCGATTGGGTGCAATCACAATGGTTGCACGCCTGCAGGCCACAGGCCTCCAGGGTGTTGCCCACACATCCATGACTGTACTCTCCGTTCAGACCCTGCTCAGAGCAGGGGAAGGGCGACCATGACAGAACCGGCTTGGCATCGCAGAGAACGAGCACGCCGAGCGAACGACAGGTTGTTGTTGAGAATTGCATCGGCCGTAACACGGATATCTCAGCATCACGGTGGGCAGCCAGATATGAGATACACGGGATCGAGGAGTTGGAACAGACAACGACGTTGGGAATGTCCTAAGTGTAGCCGTCCCAACATCTATTCTTCGTCAGTGTCTGGATTATGTCCACCACCAGCGACCAAAAATAGCGACTCCGATCCAGAACCAATCGACGATGCTCCATGACATCAGGTACCGACAAGGAGAAGGAGCAGGCCGACGAGAAACGATTGAAACAAGGGTTGGTCCAACAGTACTACCAGCGGGTCGGAGACAAGATCCAAGTCAGGGGCGCCAGGATGGAGGCGCCAAGACGACATGGAAGAGTCAGCTCCCCTTCCATTATGACCAGCATAGCCACACCTTGCCGAAAACACAGGCTGTGGGTCCCCATGCCAGGGAACGTGAAGGGGCCAACACAGCACAGGCGCAGACTGAAGGCGCAGCTCGACGCCATCGAGAGACAGGCCAACGTTGCCTACAACCTGGATCACACCAAGACCCGAATCAAAGAGTTAGACATGGATGTTGCAGCCACATTGTGTCAAGTGTTTGCCAGGCCACCCGAGGAGCGCGCCAGGCACCAGTGACAGTACGTGGCGAGAGCGGCAAAGCGACTCGAGGAGGCGCAACGGGTCGAGGAGGAAGCAAACAAGTACTTGGAAGAATGCAAGTTGCAGACCAAGCATGTGCAAGAGGACACGATGCAGGCACAGGGGTTGGTGGAGCATTTCGAGCGCCCCGCCACGGAGGCAAAAGTCAATCAAGAAAACCTATCAAATGATGATGAGGACGGAGAGATGGAAGACAGAAGACAGGGCAAAACCGGTGAGCCCAGTCACAGAGGGCAGGCCAGCAGATGGAACAGACCAGCCCCCAGGCGGTCATCGCCGCTATCCACGCGAACAGCACGAACATGGTTGCTCAGCTGTCGGCACTGGCGGCGCAGCTCAACAAGCTACGGCTGTGCATGAACCAGCAAGGGCTCCTAAGTTCGCGCTTCGCGCTGCGCGAAGCGCGAAGCGCGAATAACTTCGCGCTCTCGCGCCGCCCCCCAAGGAGGAGAAGAGGAGGACGAGGAGGAGGGGGAGGAGGAACGAGGACCGCGAAGCGCGAAGCGCGAATAACTTCGCGCCCTCGAGGGAGCCCTTGACCAGGCGGGCATCCTCCCGCAGGCAGCGGCAGCGGCAGCATCTTCAGCAGGAGCGCAGCTGCCAACGCCGCCGGCAGCAGCAGGAGCAGCAGCAGAAGCCGAGGCAGCAACGCCGCCGCCTCAGCAGCTTCAGCAGCCTCAGCAGGTTGAGACAGAAGCACCAGAAGCAGCAAGGGCTCCCAGCTTCGCGCTTCGCGCTCCGCGAAGCGCGAAGCGCGAATAACTTCGCGCTCTCGCGCCGCCCTCCCAAAGGGAGAATAGGAGGACGAGGAGGAGGGGGAGAAGGAACGAGGACCGCGAAGCGCGAAGCGCGAATAACTTCGCGCCCTCGAGGGAGCCCTTGCTTCAGCAGCCTCAGCAGGTTGAGACAGAAGCACCAGAAGCAGCAGTCAGCGCAGTCAAAACAGATCCCGCCGTCGAACCCAGTGTCCCCGCCGTGAGAGGCAGCAAAGGTGGCAAGGACGGCAGCAGGGCCAGCACCGAAGGTGGGGAGGTCATCCCGGCGGTCGACAATGGTAAGGACCGCAACCGTGTCAGGGTCAAGACCAGGTTCGAGACGGAAGTCGAGACCATCGTGCGCAGGGACTCCGACGACCAGCTGACTGAAGGATGACTCCGCCCAGCTGTTTCTCGGGAGCGGCAAAGAGGGGGGCGTCAAAGAGGGGGGGGTGCAAATCATGACCGGCGGCATGTGCGCGGCCCAGCGGGGGGGCCAGGGACGTAATGAAATAAGAAGAGGCGCCATGAAATCTGGGGAAATATCATGGCCCGCGCCATGATATCCACCCCCCCCTAGTCATCACCCCCCTCTTTTCCGCCCCCGAAAGTTTCGCTGGACACTTTGTACCCCCTCCCCTGGACCGGGACGGGGGCGTTTCGCGAGCGGTCGGAGCGCCCAGGAGGGTCCAAGACGGCTCCAAGGGTGCCCCTAAGTCCCAGATGAGCTCCAAGAGGGCTCCCAGAGGACTCCCTCGCCCACCCACCACAATTCAGAAAAGGCATGCAGGATGACGATGAATAAAACGTTAGCCTGGCGGCCTGGCGAATAACCAAAGCACATGCAGTTGTGCGCAACGTCGTTATATGCACCGCATTTGGGCCTTCGGTGGGGCTCCCTGTAGGGCCACGAAACATGTGATGAGTGTGCCAAAAAATGGGTGCGGCGGGCGCATTCGAAAGCTGGCATTTGGGCCTTCGGGGGGGGTCCCTGTGGGGGCAACGAAACGTGTGACGGGTAGGCCGAAATCGGATGCGGCGGGCACATGCGAACGCTGGCAGTTGGGCCTTCGGTGGAGCCCCCTATGGGGCCACGAAACGTGTGAGGGGTGTGCCACAATGAGAGCGGCGGGCGCATGCGAACGCTGGCAGTTGGGCCTTTGGTGGAGCTCCCTGTGGGGCCTAGACACGTGTGAGGGGTGAGCCAAAATGAGAGGGGTGACGGGAGGAGGGAGGAGGAGGGGGAGGAGGAGGGGGACTTCAAATCGAAGACCCAACACCACAGGATGGTTCGAAAATATACAAGTCGATCTCGAATGTGTGAAAAAAACGGGACCACCGCCGCGGTTGGAATTGCAGACGTAACCGCCGCAACCGCTCGGGCTCTCTAACATTCAGCGACTCAGTGCGGAGAAAGTGCCAAGAAACGAAATGCGCATATAGGGATTTACCTATCGGATCCTACGACACTTTCTACTATGACACATATAATCTTCAACACCTCCTTATCTTCCATCTCCATCTTCAACTGCACCTCCCGTTGTCTCCATCAGGCAGCTGGATAATCACAGGTACTATCCGATCGTCGTTGTAACCTCACCCCGCTGCGTTTTGGCTCCCCTCCTCTCTCCTTTACCCCTTCCTCCTAATTCTCCGTTTCGGCTCTGGCCCGTCGGCCGTCGGGGCGCGCTCCCGAGGAGGGCGGGGGGGACCGATTCAAAAAACTAGCTTCGTGGGCCCGAGGGTTCTTCTGAGCATCACTCCAGGCGCCGTCGCGTGAGCACGACCCCCGGTCTGATTTTCATCATCACCCTCCATGATGACATACCAGAGTTCCCGGGCTTCGCCTATCCAGAAGATGAAGGCCCAGGGACCGACCAGGAGCAAGCCCCGACCCCTGAGGGAACTCCCCACAGCTCCAGTCAAGGGAGTGGCCGCAAGTCCGAGGCCGAGCGCGAGCCCGACGTTTCACCTACTTACACAACCCTGGGTGCAGGGACTGTGTACTGACGGTTTGGCCTTCTGCCACGACTAGGGGTCCAGCAGGGCTTGCGCCACAGGAGGGCAGGGGTCCTACCACAAAAAATCATGTATTTACACAGATGGGACTCCCGGTAGCTTCTGACTCTCCGACACGTCCGACCCTGACCGACCTGCTTGGGCTTTCTGTGCGACTGCGAGCGAAGGGAAGGATTTATGGTTCTTGGGATTCCGGTCAGGGCCTCTGCCAGAGTTTGAGGCCGCCATCTGGGCAGCCAGCGGTTAGCAGCAGAGCCACAGTTTCACCAATGGACACCTTCCTTTCGCAGCGACAACTCGGATGTTGGTCGTAATGCGCAGCTGGGAGGCACGCAAAGACCTCCCAGAGAATCCAAGACCTATCTGGACGGTTTGTTCAAGTTACTCGTCAGGATGCTTCAGGACTATGAGTGGGCACACGTCCCTGGACACAGTGACCACCCATGGAATGAATTGGTGGACACAATCGCCAGGATAGCGCCGCAAGGTGTCTGTAAGGACCCCCTGGACCCCTGGACACTACATGGAGAGCCTCTCTGGAACTCCCGTAGCACCAAAAGGCTCTTCCTTGGGTTTGGATTCAGGCCCTCAACGATACTCAAAGAATGGCGTACTCACCGGCACCAGGAGCTCCCCTTTCCAGGCCATTAAGAATACAGCTACAGCTACCACGTTGCCTACCGAAGCCGTTCCTGAGGTTACTACTAACCACATCCAGGTCAACTTAGCGATGGCTTCTGCCAACGTCCTTCCGCTCGACTCCAAGGCCTTGAAGGAAGCAGGTATCAAAGGTGCGGTCCTACACAGGACTACTGACAGGACGCATTCAGCAGCTAGGTGAACAGTTTGCCAAATCAAAGTACGTATTGGTTAGCATGACGGAGACAGTATCATGTGCTGATGTCTGGGGCTACGCTGCAAGGATGGGATGGATGTACATTGTGGGGTGATTGCACACGTACCATGTGCACCGGGGCTACCCCCCCTCTGCCCTGTCTCTCCTCCTCCTCCTCCTCATACTCCGCCTCCTCCTTCGCCAGTGATCCTCTCACGGCTGAGCAGAAAGCACGCATTCTGGTGAATCGCGAGGCGGCCAGCGAGAGACGACACGAGAGAGTCGCTCCAAGGGCAAGCCGTCTTGCATTCGAGGTCTGGCCTTCGCCACGGTATTTTCCTCAGGCTCGAAATTACCTTAATTGTTATGGGCTGAGGGTTTTCATCAGTTGCTTGCAAATCCAGATGAGCACGACTTCAGTTCCATGCCACCCCTCTCACCACCTCTGCAGATCCTACTTCCCTCACCGCTTCCCTCGTTTCTCACCTTACCTTGGTGCTGCCAGGTTCCCAAACTGTCGCCACTTGCCTGCGTCCCTGGGGGTTCCAGCGGAGCAGCGAGATACCCAGGTTAAACTGTTACTCTGGGAGCGACGAGGTACTGCTACTGTTCCTCCCCTACTGCTGCTGCTGCTGCCCCTCTTCAAACTCGTCCTCCTCATCCTCCTTCCCCCATTCTCATCATCATCATCATCATCACCACCACCACCACCACCATCATCATCATCAGCATCATCATCAGAAGCAGCAGCAGCATCAGCATCAGCATCAGCATCAGCATCATCATCATCATCATCATCATCATCATCATCATCCTCAGCAGCATCAGCATCAGCATCATCATCATCACCATCATCATCATCATCATCATCATCATCATCATCATCATCATCACCATCACCATCACCATCACCATCATCATCATCATCAGCAGCAGCATCATCATCATCATCTCCAGCATCATCATCAGCAGCAGCATCAGCATCAGGCATCAGCAGCAGCATCATCATCAGCATCATCAGCATCAGCTTCAGCATCAGCATCATCATCATCATCATCGTCATCATCAGGATCATCATGATGAGTTCACGCATCCTGATAGGTATCACCCTGCCCCACTTTTCCTCCACGCCCTGGCATGAACTATCACTTCCTCCCCTCTCCACCACCTCCCCCTCACCTTGCACCTCCTCGTCTCTGTCATCCTCATCTCCCTCCTCCCCCTCCTCCCGCACCATCTTCTTCCCGCTCCTCCTCATACACCCCTCACTTGACCCCCAGAATTCTTGCACGAAGAAGTGGAACGGAGATGGGACAAGGCAGAATTTGGAGACGTCAGATACTGAGGAAGAGGGCACGAAAAATGTTCCTGGCGAAGGACCCAACCATATGCAGTTGTGGGTACCGCAATTGTGAATATCTTCTTCGGTGAAGCTCCCTATGGGGCCACGAAGCGCTGCACTGGGCGGGGGGGAACGCTGTACTGGGTGGGTGGTGTGCCAAATTGGGTTTCCGGGACGCATGTGGACGGTCCCACTGAGGGCTTCGGTGGAGCTCCCCACGAAACGCTGTCCTGGGTTGGCAAAAATATCAAATTGAGTTTCCGGGACGCAAGCAGACGGTCCCAATCAGGGCTTCGGTGGAACTCCCTATGGGGCCACGAAGCGCTGTACTAGGCGGGTGAAAATGCCAAATTGGGCTTCCGGGACGCGTGCGGACGGTCCCACTGGGGACTTCGGTGGGGCTCCCTATGAGGCCACGAAACGCTATACTGGGTGGGTGAAACGCAGGGAGGGGGAGAAGGGCCACGAAACGCTGTACTGTGTGGGGGGGACGCATGCGGACGGTAGACCTGGAACCTTCGGCGGAGCTCCCCATGGGGCCACGAAACACTGTACTGGGTGGGTGAAACGCAGGGAGGGGGAGGAGAGCCACGAAACGCTGTACTGGGTGGGGGGGATACCTACTGCTAGGATTGTCCGTCTTCATGCTCCTCCCCCTCCGCCAAGCACGCCTCCTCGGCGTCCTCTTACTCTTCCGTCTCTCTTATCCTGGTCCTCCTCTTCCAGCTGCTACTGACCCTGCTCTTCTTCATCAATGCTGTCCTCATACCTCTCTTCCCCGACATTCTCGCGCCGACTGTGTGACGACGTCTGGGACAGTTCGTGGGCCAAAACAAACAAAAACTCCGAACCTGCAACACCTCAGCCTACGAATGGAAATGCTGACCGCATGAAAATGAGTCACTTGATTAAAATGGAAAATCGTGCTGCACAGTGGTGCTGTGCTGGCAATGGGATTTCTATTGTTGCATTCAGCCCATGGTTGCACCTAGCTCAACTCCTTCTTCTGCCAGTTGAAGCTGGCGGCCTGGACAGAGGACTCGCCTGTGTAGCCGAGCTTCTCCTTCCAGCCAGGGTAGATCTGGTCCGCATCCTTCTGGAACGTCAAGAACGCGCCCTTGAGCTCCTCGTGCGTCTTCGCGTATTCGACCACACCGTCCGACAGGCTCACGTCGCCGTAGGTGCCTGCCTTCCACAACTTCCACGACTCCTCGCCCTGGGCGCACGAGATCGCGCCCTGCTTCGGCCCGTCCTTGTGCCCGAAAGCCCCACCGCCTGCCGTCAGGATAACGTTCGAGTGCCCCAGGTTCTCGAAGAACGCAGGCAGCCGCAGGGCGTTCATGCCACCCGAGATGATCGGGGTGGTCTGCTTCATGCCCTCCCACTCCTGGCGGTAGTACGGACCGTCGGCGACGTCGTCCTGCAGCATGAAGCCGATGTTCTTGTCCGAAGCATCACCCTCCATCTTGCCGAAGCTCATCGTGCCCGTGTGGATGCCGCTGGCACCGATGACGCGCGACAGCTTGGTGTGCACGAAGGCGGTGTACCCACGCTGCGTCTGAGGGCTGGTCACTGCGCCGTGGCCGGCGCGGTGGTAGTGCAGAAACTGCTTCGGGAAATTGCGGCGCGCAACGGTCACCGCAGTGCCCCCGGCCACGTATCCGTCGACCAAAAATGCGCAATTCTCCGCCATCGGGCCCATCTGATTCAAGATGTACTTGGCACGCGCGATCATCTCGTTCGGGTCGTCCGCCGTAATGTTGGCGGAGAACAGCTTGCCCTGGCCCGTTTCCTCCTGGGCCGCGCGCATGGCCTTCACGACTTCTGGGATGCATTCGTTCATTTGGCAAAACGTCTGGTTGCCCTGCGGCTCGTCGTTCTTGATGAAGTCGCCTCCCTGCCAGAAGCCATAGCACGCCTGGCCGAAGGGCTTCGGCTGCAAGCCGAGCTTGGGCTTAATGATGGTGCCGACCACCAGGCCACCGCCGACCGTGCCGCGGCCCAGAATGCGCCACATGTCGATCACGCAGCACGACGGCCCGTCGAACAGGCGCAGATACTGCGGCGGGAAGTAGATGTCGTAGATCTTGCCGTAGTCGACGTCACCCATACCCTGGTTGTTCCCGATGCTGAGAGTCAGCACGGAGCACATCATTGCGCGGCCATCGGTGATGTTGCGGTCGAACAAGGCCGTCGGGTAGGCGATCTTCATCTCTTCGTTCTCCGGGTCAATGTAGTAAACGAGTGCGTCCACAGTCTTGGTGAAGTCGTCAGTGGTGCACACGTTCACGTTCGTGCCGGTGGAGGACTCCGCCGCGAAGTGCGCCGCCGTGGCCAGGTAGTCGTAACCCGCCTTGGGCTTCATGATGTAGGCCACCAGCACATGCTGGCCGTTCTTGATCAGGTCCTCCTCCGTCAGCGAGAGGTCCGCGTAGCGGCTCGACTGGTCCAGGGCACGGCGGGCCACGGAGCTCGCTTTGCGAGTCGTGCTGGCGCCAACGAACGCCGCGGCCAAATCCTTCTTCTGCCAGTTGAAGCTGGCGGCCTGGACGGAGGACTCGCCTGTGTAGCCGAGCTTCTCCTTCCAGCCAGGGTAGATCTGGTCCGCATCCTTCTGGAACGTCAAGAACGCGCCCTTGAGCTCCTCGTGCGTCTTCGCGTACTCGACCACACCGTCCGACAGGCTCACGTCGCCGTAGGTGCCTGCCTTCCACAACTTCCACGACTCCTCGCCCTGGGCGCACGAGATCGCGCCCTGCTTCGGCCCGTCCTTGTGCCCGAAAGCCCCACCGCCGGCCGTCAGGATCACGTTCGAGTGCCCCAGGTTCTCGAAGAACGCAGGCAGCCGCAGGGCGTTCATGCCACCCGAGATGATCGGGGTGGTCTGCTTCATGCCCTCCCACTCCTGGCGGTAGTACGGGCCGTCGGCGACGTCGTCCTGCAGCATGAAGCCGATGTTCTTGTCCGAAGCATCACCCTCCATCTTGCCGAAGCTCATCGTGCCCGTGTGGATGCCGCTGGCACCGATGACGCGCGACAGCTTGGTGTGCACGAAGGCGGTGTACCCACG